GGAGTGTGCTTGCGTGCAGGGTCGGGACGTGTCCAAAACTGGTCTATGACGTGATTCTGTGCACAAAATTCCTTCTGAGAATGCGCGGAGAGAACAGAGAGTGTGCTGGGTGGTTGCTGAAGTGATCGTGGTTGTCGTGTGGCTGCGGAGAACAGCTCGGGAGTCCAAGATCTTCTCCGGTTAGCGCTTCTTACCAAACACGCACCTTCTCAAGTTTTCGTGCTCCTCGCCGTCCTCACCAGCTGCTTGCAATTGACACGTCATGGCTCCGTGAAGACGACAGCACCTGCATCTTCTCATGCCCCGCTTTCGCGTTCCCAATGCTAGCCTTATCGCCAGCGCCGACTTTCCCATCCTGCCGTTCCTCGCTCCGAGAGTCTTCGCCCAGTCATCGACGACGAAAGCACACAGCCAACAGCATGGAAGGCCTAGCACAACACGGGACAAAGAGAAGGATAGATCAAAAAGCTTAGAGGAACACAATAGGGTGGAAGATCAGGACTTTATCTCGAGCCCCCGACAGACAATTGTACCAACATGTCGCAAGCGACCGATACAAGACGCTCCTGCTGCGGGGCTCCTACGGACGTCTGGCCATTGGAACAAAAGACCTGACGGTCTTGTTTCTATCAATCGCCTCTATGCGGATATATCGACATTCACTCGCCAGTATGCCCGCTCATACGCAACGACCACATCCAGCAATAAAGGCGTAGCGGATGAGAAGACGCTCTCGCGACCTCGAGCTCGTCGGGCACAGTCCAATCGCACTCGTGCTCCCTCATCTTCCGTTCAACGCACACCTTTGCGAGCCGAGAGACATTCGAAACAACTCGCCTTGGAACGTGCGCGACTCGACAACTACGTCTCTAGACTACCTGCCGGGTTTTCACCTGCAAGGCGCGACCAAGATGGCCGATACAGGTCCCTTCGACGTCGCGTGGCAAACCTCGTCAGCTGGAACCAGACGCATCTTGATCTGACTGACACTTCTGCAAAAGAGAATGGGCTTCAAAACGCGTTTGCGGCACTGGATCGCCCCGTCTACGCATCTTTGCGGAGAAACACACGTAGCGTCGTTATAGAACACGACCCACGATGTGCGCGACTGAGTTGGACGCTCTTTGCGGGAGACACAGAATCAAGTCCGCGCCAAGTATCGGACAGGTGGAAGGCTCTCGACATCTCGACGCGGAAAGCCTACGCTCATAAGTTGCTCATTTATCTCCTCGACCGTAAGCCTGGCCGCGCTTTATACTTCATACAAGCTCTGGTTAACGATACACGTACCTGGAGCCGGAAGCGAGAAGCTATTGCCGACGCTCTCAGTCATCTTTCCAAACTTCATCGACACCGATTGTATCAGGACCAGAGTTGGGGTACTGACCTAGAAGCACGCAAGCGCGAATTCGTCCCGGCGTTCTTGCACGTCTTTGTCAAAACGTTATCTAGCAAGCCCGATCTCTGTTCTCAAGACTTACTGTACAATCTTGTCGAGCTGGCCAATATAGAGGATCTGAAGAAAGTGTTCGATTGCCTCGTGGAACACAAGGTACGCGTTGACTACGATACAGTGCTACACTATGCCACTGCATTTGGGCAGGCTGGTGAAGTGCAGTATGCGTTGAAATGCCTCGAGGCATTAAAAAGCCGACATTCAGCTAAGTCGTGGGAGTCTGTTGTGGCTCGTCAAAGACTTCGCTGGGTGTGCGCTGTCATACTGCGAAGGAGCATGGCTGCAACCAAAGACTTTCACCACACTCCATACATCGTCGCTGCCTTTGTAAACATGGGTATCCAGATGGACTTACTTCTTTACAATGTCGTCATACACAACGCAATGGAAGCTGGAGATCATGCCACGGCTTTCAAGGTGTACAACACCTTCGAAAATAATGACCTACAGCCAGACAAATACACATTCGGGATAATGCTCCATGGATGTACCATGCAGAATGATCCAGCCTTTTTCCAAAGATTTGCACAGTATTGCGAAGAGGTAGCACAAGATATCCAGGACTCTTGGCTAGCAACGGAGTGTCTCTACTATCAGTATGTACGCTACAGAGTTGATGGAAACGTCGAACAGACCTCGGCCATGCTATGGCACTCTTATTCCAGACTTTTCACGACAGCGCCTCTGCAACCATTCGTTGGCTACGGAACCGCAAGCCTAGGGAACGCCGTAATGTCACAGGATTCATCTACGTCAGAGTCTGTGCGCATTTCTCCTTCACATGTAACGCTATACATCATGCTGCAGACAGAGATTCAATCAGCCTTGGCAGTTAGCAACATGCGAGTCTACAACTTATATCTCAAATTCAAGTCGGTCGTGCAGGAGGGGGGTCATCCGGCATTCAATGAACTGGCTCGACAGCCGCAAATCTGGAACGCCTTCCTGTACGCCTTTTGTCAAAAACAGCAATTCGCAAACGCATCTCAGCTCATCCAAGACATGACCAATGGCCCAACAAAGCCCAATGTCTACAGCTGGAATATCTTTATGCAGGCTTTCTTCAAGACAGGCCAGATACAGGCGGCAGAACGAATTTTCGATATTATGCGCGACAGGGGCACTGATCCCTCAAAGTACACCTGGGGAGTGATGGTGCGAGGATATGCAAATGCTCAACTTGTCGACCAAATCGACAATATCTTACCACATCTTGACGCCGAGGATGAGTCGGACCCTGATTTACTGCGATTTCTGGCGAAAGTAGTCGATCGGAGAAAGTTGATGACTATATTGGAGAAAAGCAGGCTGCAGAAAGAGGCGATTGCACTAGAGAGAGCGGAACAAGAAGCTGAGGCAGAGCGATACTGGTGGCAGCGGGCGCTCGAAGCTGTCGAAGTAGCACCAACAAACGATGTTACTTCGGTTCAATCCGGTACGACTGGCTCTCCAGTTGAAACTTCAACTTCTCCAACCGAGGAGCGTTCTGGCGCGACTGGCTCTTCTGTTGTTGAAACCACTGTTTCTCCAACCAAAGAACAATCGGGCTTACATCAAGACCGAGCCAGCGATCTCGAAACTGCAACGGAGCCTCCTCGGGTGCCTCATAGCCAGCCAAAAGCACCGCGCGCCAACCTGCAAGACCCTGAAGTCCAATACAGGAAGCTCCAGGAACGGTTGGGTCTTGTCCAGCCTGCCCCTCCCATGGTTGATGATGTCGCGCTCAAGCCGACCAAGATCCCCCAAGCGGCGCCAGTCTTCAAGAGTATGATAGACTTGGACAAGTCTAAACCCAGGGTTACAGAGCCTGGTAAAGCTGCTAGTATGCGGAAGAGGGCTAGATTCAATCTCGCCAAACCCAAGGGTAGAGGTGATTTGAGATGATGCGCCTTTGAAAAGGTTGTGTTTGTAGTTCCAATTGGATGTATGTAATTTGCAAGCCTATCGACAGAGTTGTCTATGATGAACTACACCCTGCTTGACATCCACGCACATATGTTCACGACCACATCTGCAGTACACTGCAAATACGATTACTCATATAGCAGACAGTATGTAGACCTCGCCGTCCTTCTACTATTATTACAAACGCCAAGCAGACTGGCCTTCTTTTTTTTCCCTCATAATTGTGACGCGCAACCAGTCAGAAGTCTGGAACAGGACGGGTAGCTCATATTTCTAGTCAAGCCGCTGTTGAACCAAACTCCACCATCGAACCCCGCAATGACACCAGAGAACATGCGTACTCTGACCGACAGCCCCGGCGACGCCGAGGGATATTCTCATTCTCTGGAAAGCATAAGGATGAACTCCTCACCCGAATGGAAATATCTTGGAGATAGAAGGAGGCAACCGTGACGACCCATGTTTTTACTACCTACAAGGCTGCATCACACAAACATCTCAATTGACAGACTGTTTGGTACGGTTCGGCAGGATGTTGACCGCGGGGTCGGGGCAAGATCTACGTTGCATGTACAGCCTCGCAAGCATGCAGCATGCATGCTACGTTACGTAGCTACTGCTGACTACTGTGTACTAGCGGACGCGTTGGGAGCGAACCGGAGTCTCTCAACATTACTTGCCGGCCGCTGCCAGCTAGTGGTCTAGGTCTAGATCAAAACAGACCTGCTGTCGGGCCGCGTACACCCCCAGCACATGAGTGGCTGGGCGGGGACAGATAACCACATTCTTTGTCGTGCAGTGCAATAGGGTCAGATCGAGTAAGATGTATAATCGCGGAAGCGATTTGACAAGATCTAGAATGGATAAACGTGATCTAAATAGTCTGCTCAATCGCGTAGTATTGGTTGAAACACGGAAAAGTGAACAAAAGACTTGTGTAAAGTTTGTTGTCAATCTGTTTTCTCTCTACCTATATAGATAGAGACCTCCAACGTCATCTGTGGGCCCCAACATGTAAAAGAAAAAGAGTTTGCCCAAGTAGTTGGCGTACGTGTTAAATGGTAAAAGGATGGTAACGGAGAAAAGGCGTTGGCTAATTACAAGAGTACTATATTGGTCGCGTGAGAAAGCGTCAATCCTCGAGATTCCAGCATCAATATGATAGAGAAAGGTGACAAGACAAGGAAAAAAGCTGCCAGCATACATCATCCCACACAGATCCAAGAGAATCAAAAAGGTCCCACCTCTTGAATCCTTGCCGACAAATCGACGTGTAGTGAGATATGCATGCTGCGCTGGTCCAGACTCAAAACGCTCGTGCTTTTGTTTGTTGTGCCCATCGCAAAATGTCTCAGCAGTGTAAGCTTCCGCATCTTCCGAAGAAGACTCTCCGTTGTGTGGAGTGGGGCATGCGGAAGGGTTTTCCGGCATCCATGCGGGCGAACTTGCATGTGCATGCAACAACAGTACAACTAACAAACGCGAAGATCGATACGATGCAAAATAAATTGATGGCCACCCGATGAACGCCTCCGTTTGGATATATGTCGAGTGAGAGCTAAAGGAAATGGGTAAAGATAGAGTCGCAATATACAGGTAGCGATGGATGTGAAAATACGATGACAACAAGTGCGTGCGACTAGAAGTTTTGCGCAATTCCAGAGTTGCCTTGTTGGGGGAAGACACTGGGGTTCTCGATCCTCGTGTTCCGTCGTGCTGATACGTCTCTTATGATGGGCTGTTGTTGGGCAGCGTATGGATCATTGGCAGCATATGGCCCGTTCTGGTAGTAGTCTTGGTTGTTGTAGTACTCCTGTGGGTGACCATTGGCCATGCCAGGGTAGTCGCCAGAGTTGTCAGAGTGGTTGGCTGCTGAGTATGACGACGAAGCGTTGGAAGGCCCGCGGTGCACACCGGCCTGGTTGTTGGCAGAGTTGGCGGCGGCAGCACCGTTGACAACACCGAGGGCGCCGATACCGTCCGAGTCCATGGTCTGGCGACGGCCGTCTACAAGCGGGTCGTTGGAGTGAGCGTCAGAGTAGGCACCGTGTGTGGGAGAATGTGGGCTGGTGTATCCGCCGGGGTTGCTGTTGCTGTCCGAGTAGGTCATGCCAGAGGTGAGGGTGGTGGACATCTTGCGGTTGGAGCTGGTGGTGGTGTTGCCCCAGCCTCGGTAACCGCTGTCGTCTTCGGCCATGGCCAATCCACCAACCGCAGGAAGGGTGGGGTCGTGGTTAGGGTTGAAGCCATACTCCTCGACTTCTTTCCTGCGTTCGTCCTCGGCGCTCTGGCGCTGCTTGCGTTTGCGCCAGAAGAAGATGCCGGCTAGGACTAGCAGAGCAACGACAACAACGGGAATGACGACAGCAATGGCAGTCTTACCACCAGTGCTGAGACCGCCATCGTTCTCCTTTTGTGCATTCTGCAATTGGGTGGAGTCGGTGTTGGAAGGGTCAGCGGCACCTGTTCCGGAGGGGGACGCGCTGTTGGTTGGTGCTGCAGTGGGAGAATCTGGAGTAAAAGTGCGAATAACGGTGACCACTGACGGTGTCTCTCCAGCACCCGTGGGGGTCACGGTGGAGACGATGACTTGGGTCGAGGGTTCAGCCGACGGGGCAGTGAAGACGCTCGTGTCGACGAAGCTTGGTGCGGCGCTGGTCGTGGCAGCAGGAGGAGGAGCCTGAGTGGATGATTGCGCTGGCGGTGGTGCGCTCGACTGGGCTGGGGGAGGAGCTGCCGATGTTGATGGTGCTGGAGCCGCTGATGAAGCCGGCGGCGGTGCCTGGCTCGACTGGGCGGGAGGGTCGCTGGTCGGGGCGGCGCTGGATGCGGGAGGAGCGCTCGAGGCGGGTGGAGGAGGCTCTGAGGAGGGCGCGGCCGCTGAAGGCGTGTTAGAAGCCGGCGCAGGACTTGAAGGAGAGTCTGCAGGCGGGCTGGACGAGGCGGCGGGAGCAGAAGGCTCCGTAGGCGCAGGCGCTGCGGACGGTGTTACAGACGGCGAAGGAAGATCTGACGAGGGCGGATCTGAGGATGGGGCAGAGGCAGGAGGAGCAGACGCAGACGTAGCAGCGGGCGCGGACGAGGCAGCGGGTGCAGAGGAGGGAGAAAGAATGGAAGTAGACAACGTACTCTCGGTCACATTGCTGGACATGATGGCGACAATGGCAGCCAGCAGCTGACGGGCCTGGCAAGGAGCGACTGAGGCGACGACGACGGCGACGCGAAGACGGATAAGAGGTGCCGCGCGAGGGAGTCGGACAGTCAGCAAGGGGAGAGGTTCGCTGGAGATGAGGAAGTTAGAGTTCCGTGGTACCGCTGGCGGGCTGTAGCAGGCGCGGCGATCTCGTGTCTCCGCCGTGGGTCCGCAGTGATGATGATGTATCGACGGAGGCTCTTGGGTTGCCAATCGACGGCGGGCGAGGTTGTGCACGAAGGTTAGTGGACCTGCACGGCAGCGGACAGGCGACCCCAGCCAGCACCTGTTGATAGAGCTGCCGAACCGAAAGCGCCCAACAACCACAAGCGCGCTGCTTTGCTGCTTTACCCTGCCGCCCGTGCCAATTGAGTCTGATTGCGATCGGCCTCACGCTCTTGTGAAACAATACCGTCGCAGCTCGCACGCAGCGACAGACGCGACGGGCCTGGCAGCTTTTCACCACGCCCACGCCAAGGCCTGATGCCGCTCCTGGTGTTGCATCCAGCAGCGACTGGCTTGGAGCTTCGCACGGAAAAGCGGGTGTCTAATGCAGCTTCTAATGCACCCTCGCTGACTAGCCGCGGTCCCAAAGGGGGAGCTCATAACTGCTGAGCCGGCTAGCGACGAAAGCGGCATGGGCGTGGCTGTGTGCGTCTGGAGTCTGAAATGCGAAATCTGGCACAGCGGCCCCTTGAGATCGCCTGCTCCCTTTGTGCTGCATGCAAAACACCGAAGGGCCTGCGTTGCACAGCGCCGCGATAATGCGCCTTTCCTCGCTGCCTTGGCCGTGGCATGCCGTCATCCGTGAGGCCCTTGCCTGAAATTTCTCCACCACCCCAGTCGCAATAACATCATCCGCTCGTGTTCTGAGCGAGCTTCCTGTTCTTCGCAGCCCGTGCGCCCGTCATTGGCTCCGTGGCGTGCCACTCTATATTAAGACGGCCAGAGTACCCTCGGCACCGAACCTCCCGTCTGCTCTACTGTACGGACAGCGCACTGTGGCTTCGCAACTGCTGCAGCTACTGCTATCTTACGAGGCAGCACGTCGTAAACACCACCACTAGATGCGCGCTTTTTATCAGCTGTCTTCGTATCTCGTCATCTGCTTTTGTCGCTGCCGAGCGCAGGGTTCGTCTCTCCACCTGCGCGCTCACTAGTGACAAACAAATTCTCACCGAACTATCTTGTGAAAACAACCAATTCTCGTGTGATTAGACACCATTACCCTGTCGCAGTTCGCTGCGTTGCTCACTCCACACTGTCATGCTTAGTGTACCATCACCTGCGCCTTCCCCTTACTGCTAATGCTGCACCGCTTCATTCTTCACTAGATTGCGGAAGCCACATCTATCACTCGTCCACTGTTTGACTGCGGAACGCCAGAAGCTTGATCACTAGCGTACCAGAGCATCGTCTGCGAACCAGCTAGAGCACGCCCGGAATTATGGCCTTGCGCCCTTGCAGCTTATCCTTACCAAACTTCTTCTCGTACCACCGCTTGCCCTGTAACGCGCGCGGAAGCATGGTAGAAATCTCGTTGAGAAGAAACGTGCGTGCAGGCACACACTGCCAGCCCCCAATCATCCACCACCCTGCCCACTCAATCCACTCGCACAGGTAATGCGCGTGCAGCGAGTACTTGAACAGGCCGTTCTTCGGTATCATGTACACCTTGTCCACATTCTCCACAGGCTTGCCCTGCTCAGCGGCTGCCTTGCGCTGCTTGCGGTCTGCTGATCTCCGGATCTCGCGCAGGTCGTCGTCGTGGAACATGTTGGCCAAAAGTCCCCAGCACCAGATTACGAGCCCTAGAAACATGTACTCTTGTCGCGCTGCCCACTCGTCTCGTGATGTTGGTCCATAGCCCGCGAGGTAGCCGCCAATGGAGATGGCGTTGAACATTTGGAACCCAAATGCCATGATCCAAACAAACGGGTGCATTGGCGACATGCTGGGATTGAGAAAGAGGGGAGCTACAACTGCGCGGTAGAGGTAGTGGAAGACCTGGTGTCTGATTAGCACAGTTCCTGTAGAGCCTCCAATATACTCACAAAGCATCCAGCCATGGTCCAGTTGCCCAACGGTAGTTCTTCAAGCCCCAATTCTTTCGGGAGCGTAAACATGATGTACAGCAGGGTTATGAAGCCTGCCGACTCCATGGTCGCCCATCCTATCTTGCCATCGATGTTGAAACGCGACTCAATCGACGTCTTGCCCTGTGGGTACCAGTCCAGAACCCATTGCGCCGCCGTAATCTTTGTTCACCAACAAGGTTAGTAAGGAGAGTATCAAGTGGCACTGGGTCGCGGCACGGTGCCCAGCAATCTGTCGGGTGTATGCTTACAACAGGAAAGAACTGCCAGATGTAGCAAATCAGCTCCCAGTTCTCGCGCGACGGCGGCAGCCAATTCTCCACAATCGCCATGCTTGTATGATGTGGTATGGCGACGCAGTATGAGATTTGACGACGCGTAGAGAGAATTGCTAATGGGAACCTGGTGATCAGGTGTGGATTAAATCACAAAACAATGATGTCACCAAACACTGTTACATCCGCGCCAAGCCGAAGCGCCCGGGCGTGTTTACGTTTTCTCGGTCGCAGTGCCTTTCCATCACGCTTCGGTCCGGACGAAATGACCCGCTCAGACAGATCTACTAAGCGCGCCATCTTTCTGGAATTGGATCGCTGCAGGATGCAAAGATCCCACCGCAGTGATGCAGCCCACAGTGCAAATTGCCGGCATTATATACAGTAGACGTCGAAGTTTCTTCATCAAAAAACCGTCTCCTTAGCTCAATTGGGAGAGCGCCAGACTGAAGTCTCAGTCACTAAATCTGGAGGTATCGTGTTCGATCCACGAAGGGGACAACGTGCCTGAGTTCGCTCAGGATTCTTCGAACTTTCTTTTTGCGCTTGCTTGAACCTAGGCAGACAGCGTTGTGCAGGGAATGCATGCCCTCGAATCTTTTTGGCGTTGCCCCTTGAGTTGCTTTTTTGCACATGCACTATTGCTTTGTAAACCCTGTCGAACGAGAGCACTGTGTGTTGGAACAGGGTAAGTTCTCAGTCGGTGTGAATAGCGATCGGACACGTTGGTGGTGGAATGGAAGTATTGTGGTCAGATGAAGAGAAAAGGATGATGAATAAAGACTATGCTACGCTATGGTACTTGCTACTAAACAGACCAAAAACTAATGGCCAATGCTCAAATCGTCAGAAGCGCGATGCTTACTCCGCTCCTCTTGCACCACTTGCTTGCATGTCGGCGTCGGTGACGGGAACACTCTCCCTCCGCAGCTGCTCTGGAGCTCTCGCTTCGTTGCCTTTCTTAATGCCTCTCCCTCCTGGCGTCAAGAATGTGTTGTCCAAGTTTGGTAGGTCCTCACCAGGGGTCGGAGACCAGTGCTTGCTCTTCCATGGGGTGACGTGGAGAATGTACATGGTGTCAATCTCCTCAAGAGTACGGCCGTGGGATTCGCAGAGGAAGAAGTAGACTACGACTGCACCAGTGAAACAGCAGGCGGCGAAGACATAACCGTATCTGTAGTCGATGGCAGACGTAATGTAAGGTGTGACTGAGAGTGGTATTAGTACAGTCGCGGAAAGACGTGGATGGAGTGGTATTGACTTACAGAAAGAGATGAGGAAATTCCATGTCCAGTTGCTGGCCGTTGCCAGAGCCATTGCCTTTGCACGGTATCGGCTAGGGTAGATCTCACCGATCACAGCCTGCAGCGGAGTCAGTATATGTCTCACATGCACTTTGTACAGCCAGAACTTACCCAGATGATTGGCCCCCATGTCATAGCATAACCAGCGATGAAGAGGCACGCAAATGTGATCATGGCATATCCGACGGGCTGGCTCGTAGTACCATCGCCGTTATTTAAAGCGAAGTGTCCAAGCGATGCGAAGACGAGGAAGCACATGAACATCCACAAGCCTCCAGTGATCAGTGCGGGTCTTCTTCCGAATCTCTCAACAATGTAGAGACCAGGGAATGTCATGCCAAAGTTGACTCCTCCCAGGATCATAGAAGTGACGAAGGGGTCTTCGATACCGACGGACTGGAAGATCGTAGTTCCATAGTAGAAGTAACTACAAGAGAGTCAGTACAAGATGTGTGTCAATGTGCGGTATCGACTTACTAGTTAGCACCCGTGAGTTGCTGAAGGGCTTGCAGACCGACTCCAAGAAGCACACGATACGCCATACGTGGTCCTGTAAAGATCTCGTACCAAGGGTGGTGACCTCCGCCCGCTTGCTCGGCCTCCAACTTCTCCTGGATTTCCCGGACTTCGCGTTGGACCTCCGGGTGTTCCTGGGGGACACCGTACGTGATGGCGATGGTGTGTATCGCCGAGTCAACCTTGCCCTTGCGGTATTCCCATCGTGGAGATTCCTGCATAAAGAGAATTCCGAATATCATGAGTGCTGACCAGATGAAACCAACGCCCATTGGAATCTTCCATGATGCTGAGCTACCATCGGACTTGGTACCGTAGTTGATACAATAAGCCGTGAAAATACCGAGGGTGATGAAGAGCTGGTAACAGGACACGAGTGCACCTCGGACGTAGCGAGGTGCAGTTTCGGATTGGTACATGGGCGTAAGGACCGAAAGTGCGCCTACACCCAAGCCTGCGACCCAACGACCAAGGGAGATCTGGTACCATATGTTCGTTGTGGTAATCTGTACGATGACTCCAACGCAAAAGATGATGTTCCAGAAGACGATGGAGTATTTGCGACCGAATTTGTCGGCGATAGGGGCCGCGATTAGAGCACCCATTAGGGTACCGATGGACAGCAGTGCAACAATCAAGCCAGACTTCCAGTTGCTGAAAGCGCGCTCGCCTGTTTCAGGGTCTGTCTGATCCGCGAATTTGTTCAAGAAATCGGGCATCTCCAAGAACCCAGAGATTTGACCAGTGTCGTATCCAAAGATGAACTA